TTCTTTTGCTTTTCAAGGAGAGGAGCAAATGGGGGGGGAGGGGGGAGGGGTTTGTGCGGGGAGAAGGGTGCAACAATGAATGAATGGAATCCCAAAATCTGTAGATGTTCATTGAAATGAAAAATAAACAACCTAAATTAAAAAAAAATTGGGAAGATATAAAACTAATGGGACTAAGAGTTTATGTTAATGGGGAGGAACAACTTGGAAAAAGGGGGGAGAATGGTTGTACAACTTGAAGACAATCAATGTCACTGAACCGCACCTGTAGAAACTGCTGACTTGGTATGTGGTCTGCTGTAGACAGTCTCAAGAGTAGTAACAGAAATAGAACAAATTAATTAAAAAGATTTAATTTGTAAGACTGGGAAAAACTGGATAGAGTATGTATACTGAATTAAAACAGATGAGGGAGAGAACAGTTTAAAAGTGATATATGATAGAATATTATGATTATCACAGGAATCCAGAATTAAGGTTGCATAGTGGAGTGCATTTGGGGCGGGGGTGGGGGGGTCAGGGTCAGTGCGATTGAATACCAATAAAGAAGTTTATCTTTTGCTTTTCAAAGAAAGGAGCGAATTGGGGGGATGGGGGTAAAGAAAAAAGTGCAACAATAAATGAATGAAAATCCAAAATCTCTGTAAGTGTTCATTAAAATTAATAAAATAAAATAAAATAAAAAGATCTAATTCAATCAAATGAGCTACTTCACGAAAAGAACCCAGTATTTGGACCACAATATTTAATATATACTTGTACATAACAACAACCAAAAAGCTTATAAAATTCAAGTAGAATCAATAATAAGCTATTAAAAAAATAATCTTGGTACTCCTGCTTTGCTGGTGGGCAGCCTGGTAGACTGGAGTGGTCTTCTGATTATAATGTAGTACTGGAAACTATTACTTACTATTTTTCTTAGTCCTCCAAACTATGCTGCAATCTTGGCACCCAACATTAAAACCCAGAAATGTGATTTCCCCTCTACCCATCCTCACTCCTCTGCCCCCACCCTTTCCCCCTCCTTGAACACTTAGACACGTTTCTCCCTAGTTATCCTTCTATTTTTACAATAATAGTCTTATGCAGTATTTGTCCTTATGAGACTGAGTTCACTAAGCATAATACTCTCCAGTCTTTCTCAAGTTATGTAGCATTTTTCAAAATCAGAAGGCAAGCATGATTCAGTGTCAAAAAGTATCCATAATTAGTTATTTTTTTATGTATTCCAAATTACAAAGCTTGAGAAGCCCCCCCATGTGTTTATTTTACAGCCAAAGTTGGAAATAAAACACTTACATATCTCCCCTTCCAAAAATAACCCTAGAAATGGGTTTCTTCAATACAGTTTTAAGGAAAAAAAATAAGATTTTTGCTCTTACCTTGCATTAGGAGTAAGGCTTCGTAAGACATGAATTAGAGAACTAAGTGGTAGCGATCCAGATTGTTTAACCAAAAGAGAATTCTCATAGGAAGTTTCTTCAGTATATGGAATATATGTAGTAGTTTCATACCAGAGCCAGTTAAAAAGACTTTGCTTTGCATGATCCCACACTAGAGTACATGGTCAAAATAATAAGGAATTACAAATTATTTTCATAATCATGTTACTAAATTTTTTTTATGTTACTAAATTTTATTCAAGGAAAGAAAAAGAAGTATTACATTTAAAATAACTAATTTAAAAAAATTATGAAATTTTAAATTTTTTGCTCTTTCCCCACCTAAATCAGTAACTCACAATCTATTTCACTGGCAATCAACATCTGAGTATTTATTTATAGGTTAAGTATAAAACTCTATGAATTAAATTAATAAATACTGAGTATCACAAAGAATGGAAAGGGACCAATAATTTGGTTACCTTCCTACTCATTTTTTTTTCCTTGTGTGTACCATCAAATCAGATCCAACTGACACAGGAGAAGACTGTTCCTCCTGTAGCACTGCATCTGGTGGATTCGAACCATGCGCCTTCAGGATTGGAGCGCAGCTTCTTGTCATTAGGCCACCAGTGCTCCCTTTCATGTAATTTTAGATGTAAAGTACCATTTTTGGTATTTGACATTTTATTCAAATAATTATATGAGAAATTAAACTGAGGACACCTATCTTTTTGGTAAGCTGTCTTCAAATATCTGTAAGAGGAAAAGTGTATTGTAAAACAAGAAAAAATATTCCAATTTATGACATTAAGAAAACTAGTTGTGTAAGATGGTATCTAAAAAAAAACAAGAGGAATATTTAACTTACTAAGGGGAGCATTGAGGTGATCAATAGAAGCGATAAGGTATATATTATGCAAAGATGACAACTGCCCGATAATTTGCTGACTTCTCTCTCCTCTCAACATCTGGCTATCCAAATTGTGGATGAGCAGAAAGAGTTGTAAAGAAGTATCTAAAAGGAAAGAGATTTTGATTATTATTTTCAAAGAGTATTTGTGACATTCCTACTACACACAATGTCTTTGTATAAAGGAATACATCAAAGTAGTATAAATTGTGCCTCAAAAAAAAACCCCTAAATGCACTGTGTCAAGTTGATTCCAATTAATGGTGACCAACATCACAATCATAAGGTTATAAATTAATAGAAGCAGACTGCTTAATCTTTCTTATGGACAACAACTGGTGGGCTTAATCTACCAAACTTTCAGTTAGCAGCTGAAAACTTAACCTACAATATCACGAAGTTCTTGAAATATTGCTTAAGACAATGATTAAGGATAATAGAGAAAAACTGATGTCTTTGAACTACAGTGTTGAAGAAAGAGTACTGAATATCCCATGGACTGCCAAAAGAACATGTCTTGGAGAAAGCACAGCCAGAGTGCTCCTAGAAGGAAGGATGGTAAAGCTTCGTCTCACATCCTCTTAAGCATGTTTCTAGGAGAGGCTATGGAGGACATCATGCTTGGAAAGGTGGAAGTATGGAGGAGGAGCGGAAGACTCTAAACTAGGTGGACTGCAGTAATGGGATCAATATGTCACAGACTGTGAGGTTGGCACAGGAAAGGACAGGATTCATATCCATGGTTCATAGGGTCTCTATGGGTTTTACTTAACTGCACATAACAACAACAAGGATATGTAATTTATTTGGTAAGGTCTGCCAAATACTCATACAAAAAGCTAAGCCTTATTATTAAAGCTTTAAGGAAAAAAGAAATGAACTCAGGAATATGAATAGGACTGGAGTGGTTAGAGACTGAACTGGAATGGTTAGTATATCATTCAGATCCTTACTAGAGCTTAGTTTTAACCAGATCTTAAAAAGAACATAGCTTTTTCTTTTCCTATTTATGTTTTATTATCCCATAGTTGCAGAAAAGATCTGCCCTGAGGGTTTTCTTGTCTGTAATCTATAGTTAGCCACAATTTGCTATGATCCATATAGTTAAATGACTTTCCATAGTCAATGAAACACAGATAAGACATTCCTCTGGTACTCTACCAAGATACATCTGACATTGGAGATAATATCTCTACTGCCACAACCTCTTCTAAACCTAGCTTGTACTTCTGGCAGTTCTCTGTTGATGTACTGTTCCAGTCGATTTTGGATAATCTTCAGCAGGGTTTTGCTTTTGTGTCATATTAGTGATATTGTTTGAAAATTTCCACATTCTGTTGGGTCATTTTTTTTGTTTTTTAATGGGAATATGGACTTTTTCCAGTCAGTTGGCCAAGTAGCTGCCCTCCAGATTTATTTATTTTTTAAATTTTATTATTTTGTGTGTGTCTGTACTATCAAATCAGATCCGACAGGTACAGGAGGAGATTGCTCCTCCTTTTCCGGCAGAGCATCTGGTGGATTCGAACCTTCTATCTCTGGGATTGCAGTACAGCTTCTTGCCACTAGGCCACCAGAGCTCCCCCAGATTTCTTAGTACAATCTGGTGAGCATATCTAGGATGTTTGTTGAAATATGTCAATTGGTATTCCATTAATTCCTGGTGCCTCATTTTTTGCTAAGTCCCTCAGAGTGGCCTGCACGTCCTCCTTCATTACCATTGCCTTTTGATCACACATGGTTTCATGCAATACTTCCGTGTCAACCAATTCTTTTTCGTACAGTGGCTCTGTATACTCCTTCCTATGCAAAGGCATACTGTGTGGATTACAACAAATTATGACCAACCTTGAGGAGAACAGGAAACCCAGAACACTTAATTGTGCTCATGCAAAACCTATACTCAAACCAGGAAGCAGTCCTTGGAACAGAGCAGAGAAACACTGCATGGTTCAAAATCAGGAAAGAAATGTGTCAGGGATGCCTCCTGTCTCCAGACCTTTTCAATCCATTATGCAGAACAGATCATCCAGGAGGCTGGGCTTTATGAGGAGGAATGTGGCATCAGGATTGGAGGAAGACTTATCAACAACCTACATTACACAACCTTGCTTGCTGAAACTGAGGAGAACCTGAAGCACTTGCTGCAGAAGGTGAAGGACAGTAGTCTTCAATATGGACTGAAGTTCAACATCAAGAAAACAAAGATTCTTGCAACAATGGAAATCGAAAGGCTCTGTAGATTTTTACGGAAATTAATAATAAACTTAAATTTAAAAAAAATTTTAAGAGTAAGGACGGCAATGGATTTATAACTGTTCATGCTAATAACACTATATTGTAGCATGGAGGAGGAATAGTGGAACTGTATCCACATTTACGATATTCTTCTTATCAAAACCATTTATGGAAAATAGGAACTGCATTGGAACATGTATCTCTGGATTGGAAATGATCATGTTGTTAATATTCCTAGTCTTAAAAGTAAAAGATTATATTGTTCAAAATTATTTGTTATATATTTGTTTAAATTTTTCCCTCTTTTAACAACTGGGATCTAGAGGGAAGAGAAAAGACCAGAGAATGGCCAAAATTATTGGGGCAGTTATTGCCGCCAGTTTAGGGCCTGTGTCAGGAAAAGGAAGTCTTAGTCATAAACAGTGCCACCCAAAGGTAATAAAGG